CACGCCGGCAGGAGACGGCGGCGAAGTGGGGCGACGGCGAATTGGGGAGACGGCGGCGAGGGCGAGGGATTTGGGGAAGAAGTGTGGTGGCCGGGGGGGGGTGGGGGGGGGGACCGCTGTTTAAGTGAAACATAACGGTAGCGCGTTTCCGAAAACGCGCTATAGCTAAGTTAGCTACAATGCGTTTCCTGAAACCTGCTACTGCTATTCCTTTCTCCTTTTTTCCCTTTTTCTTTTATTTTTCTTTACATTTTATTTTTTTTTCCTTTCTCCTTTTTTCTATTTCTGTCATTTTCATTTACTTTTCTACTTGTTTTTCACTTTATTTTATTTCCGTTAGCAGTAGCGCCTTATACGTAAGCGCGCTACAGCTAAAGAGAGTAGCAGTAGCGCTGGGCCAGTATACGCGCTACTGCTAGGTTGGGCTAGCCATGTGCGCCCAGTTCAAACATAGCAGCAACACTTTTTGCTAGTACGCGTTACTGCTAAAGTCATAGCAGTAGCGCAGTTTATTTACGCGCGCTGCTACTAAGTTGCAGTAGCGTATGATTTTGTACAGCGCTACTAGTAACATTCTGTGTATAAGGTTTTCCCTAGTAGTGGGATATGGGAACGCCAGGGCGCGCCTAGGCATGCCTGCCACGTTGCACCCGATAGCCCGACCCCACTACCAAACCCTTCCTCCTCCTCCCGCCGCCCTCCAAGCTTTCCCGCGCCCGAGCCCTCGCCGTCCTCCATCCTAGCTACCCATCCTCACCACCCGCCCCAATCTACTGCGGGAGATGTCGTCCAGCCCGTCCCCGACCACCGCGACGGAGACGCAGTCGCCCTCGTCCATCGGTGTCCCTTCGTCGGCTCCATCTTGCAAGGCGGAGAACGTCGCCTGGAAGTTGCGGCGATGCCGTCAGCTAGAGAGGGAGGCGGCAATGGCTGCATAGGGAGGTTTGGACATGGTGGAGCAACTGTCTCTTTCACCGCGCCCGGACACCTGCACCCCTTCCATCCGAGCGTTGTTGGCTTTTGATCACTAGATCAAATCACCCAGGAACGATGCACCCGAAGTGCAAAGCTAGCTAGACGAGGTTGATTGATTCTCAAGCAACACACACGTAAAACATAGACGTATACGTAAACTTGACCTGGCCGGTGGCCTCGGCGGAACGTCTGAGACGTAACTTTAGCAAACGGAAAAACTGATCGGGACGAGACTGATTTGGTGATAGCTACAGGAGTGTGTCACTCCTGTCTTTCTTTTTATTGCTTTGATCGACTTTCGTTGTGGTGATTACAGGGCTGGGGTACACGCATATATATATATATATATATGTGTGCGCGCGCGCGCGCGCGCGTACGATTGTCTAGTAGCTAACCGACTTGGTATACTACTACTAAGTCTACTCGGTTACTGGTTAGACTACTAGTCGGACATACACGTCTGTGTTTAGTTCTAACAAGTGTCGACGCGGATTACGCCGTCCGACCCCGTTGGGACAGATGAGGATTCGACGGCCAGCCGGGCCATTCCGGAGAGCTTTCTGCTGATGCAAATGCCTATATAGACATGATGCTGAATGGTGAAACCACCAGACAAATTAATTCTTGATTGATTACATCAAGCAAAACGCATGCTCCTGAACCAATCAAATGGCTTTCGCCAACAACAAGCGGCGCTCTCGTCACACTCACACCAAATGGACGGGGTTGTGCGGCCGTATGTGGTGAACCCACCACACCCACTGGCAAATCAAACCCTCCTTATTACAAGCACACTCATAACAGCAGGCCCAATCAAATCACACACAAATGATATGCAGTATCGTTCCTCACGGAAAAACAATTAATCAGGTGCACACACACAGCGTCAAACCGGCAGCAATTTATTCTTGGGAAAACACACCAAAACAATCTTGTCAAGCAAACTCCTCAACCGTTGCCGCAACGTTAGCCGTCGATAGCTGCAAGACGACGCCATCATCTTGTAGATAGCAACAACCAAACCTACACAGCACAGGTAATGATGATACAGTTGATTGATGGAAGCAGGACAGATGAAGTAATATGATCAAGCAATTTGGTGCACAGATGGGGGAGGGATTAACTTAGTTGACGCTCTACATATATGTGTATGCAATTTATATGCAGTTGTTAAGAGAGTACATAACAGAGTATTTAATCACCCAATGTCTCTGTTGTGTGTGCCATGTATATACTATGACACAAGATCAAAAATAAGAGAGAACACATGAGTGTGTGTGTACCAGAGTATTATTTGGCCGCTTCACCGGAGAACTGAGGCTCTAGGCAGCTTCTTCTTGTAATATGCCGAGTGGCGAGGAACAAAGAGCGAAGGGTCGTGGCCGGCCTCCGGCCCGTCCCACTCCAACTTCTCCCACCAGTCCTTCTCGCAGTCCACGACGGGGCGGCTTTCTTGACCAGTTGCAGGGAGGCGCCTGAGACCCCAACATCCCCTCACCTTGAATGTCTCAAGCTTGGGAGCAAACATCTTGGCTTCGCATATATCTTGCAGCTTATGGAGCTCATGTAGGTAGATATGCTTCAGGTTTGGGAATTCCAGTGCACCTTTAGGGCACCGGCTATTGATATGCCAGGATCTAGTTATCAGTGGCATAATCTCTGGCTCCACCGGGAACACCTGCCTTAGATCACCACAAAATACGATGTGGAGGATCTCCAAGCTTCTCAAGGTGTATAACCTAGACATCACGAGGACAAATTTGAGCCTTGGGCAAGAGAACAGGTGTATCCTCTGTAGTTTCACAAAGGAATAATGGTCTTCATGATCCGATGTCCAATGTTTGCTCCAAATGCTTTGGGTCATCAAGAGATCAGACACCCAAATGTTCAGTAGTTCTTGAAATTTAGAGTACCTACACATAGTATCGAAGACCGTATGCATCTTAGGGCATCTCACCACGTGACAAGATTTCAGATGTTTCCATGTAAGTTTCTGTTGTTCTGTAGACATCATAAGTTCAGGGATAACAGTGGCGATGGAAGAATTATCGTGCACATCCAATGACTCAGCCTTCTCCATCACATAGAATATAGCCTTATTTCCTTGTATGCTCTCCATGCCAGTGTTGCTAATCCCCTCACCAATCTCCACATGGCAGCCCGACGGCCGAAATTGTGATGCACTATTATAGTCATGATCAATAGTTATGTCATCAATATATATATCAATGTAGGGGCATTGAGAAGGATTGGTGATTAATGACTTTGGTTGGGCTGGCCCCAATATTTTCCCATGGCTACTTGATTCCATCTCCTTCTTGTTACACTGTCCACAAGCAGATATGCAGAGATTTAGACTAAACATATAAGTGTCAGAATTCCAAAACATGTTGGAACTTGTGAGCACCAACAATTGAATAAATTTCATGTCCATCATAGCAACATATGCTTGACAATGACCCTTTTTTAACTTCTCAAAAACTGGTAGTGTTCTCGTCATCTCTTCTCCTCGAGTGTCAATGCAAAGCAAACTTAGTTGGGCCATCCCCTTTTTTGGCCAAAGGATAGCTCGGAGTTGCTCACATCCCAACAACACAACTCGTTGGAGACATGGGACATGCACAGCCTGAGTTGTGAGGTCAAGTGTCTTGACTCTTGTGCCTGAGAGGTCAAGCTCCTCAAGGTTTGGAAGTGATCCATGAAGTGTGAAGTCAGATAATCTTGCACAACCAACCAAGGAGATGCAGCTTATTTTGGCTTCCTGGCAATCATCCTTTCTTACTCCTGCAACTAAGCTGAATACTTCGAGTGATAGGGGTAGTCCTTCAATTTTCTCCAAACTAACACAACCATCTAGAACTAGAGTCCTGAGGCTAGTTGATCTTGACAAGCTGGGAAAAAACCTGAATTCATTCTTTTCGCCTGTTTCCAAAGTGCAAGTAGGATCAATTATGCGAAGCTTGCGTAGATTATGTAGTTGTCCCCATACAGAAATGTTATGCCAAAACCTTCCATTCTTTATATGTACTTCCCTCATATTTGCAGCCATCTGCTCTATTATCTCTGGTGACGAGGGCAGATCCCAATCTGTATGGCATATGTCTATCACCCATAGGCTCTTAACAAAATCCATTGTTACTATATCTGGCTTCTCATCTTCTTCTGGTCGTATATTCTGGCAGCTATCTAACCCGAGGAATCTTAAGTTGCGGCAACAATGAAAAGGTGGACATGTAAAACTGAAGGTGCAGCCGCATAATTTGAGCACATGAAGATTCTTCGATTGATGAAACATGTCATTAGATAATGACCACAATGGAGGATCAGATCCGCTTGCGATTGCTACGAGGAAAAGGGATGTCGACTCTGGATGAAAACTCATTGTGTCTGTTTTTGTCCTTGCATGTGTTTCAGAGTTGCCCCTGGCCAATATCCACCGCTTCGGAGGAGTCTTCAGTTCACAGCCAAAAGAGGGCACTGTATTAGATGAATAGTCCTTTATACATATTTGGTGATGTAGAGCAGCTGCAGCCTCCCATGCTTCCTCACCCTGACCTCCCTGTATAATCCCATCACATACCCAATAACTAGAAGCATGGGTGGGCCAACCATAGTCCACAATGTTGCCTCCCTGAGAGTTTAATGATAAGAGATACAAGGAGCACTCTGTAGCTACTTCGTCAAGCTTATCTGCATATCTAGCAATTTCTCTAGCCTCGTTCTCAAGGAAATAATTCCAGCCTAAAGGACTCCTCCCACTATAGAGAAATAGATGGGAATGATCCACCTTTCTACCAATTCCTGGGTATAGCCGAAACCTTCCTCGAAATGTCCACAATAATGTAGTATCAAAAAATTTCCCTTGAAGAATTCCATAATCTCTTAAATTAACCATATCATTGCTTCCATTATGAAATACCACTAAACATCTTTGCCCCAAAAGGATCTGAATGATCTCTCTCCCAACACATTCTATTTCATCTCTCGAGCCTTCATCTATCCCACGGAAATCATCTTCATCGTCTTGCGTATCAAAATTATCCATTACCCATTTAGGAAGCTTCACTTGTTGTGCAATTGTCCTCTGGAGTGCTCTTCGGCTTTTCCATCTCGAGCAATCGATATGGATAATCTTGTCAAATTTTTTCTGCAGAGATGGTGGAGGGTCTTCAGCTATTCTCCTAAGCACTGCCGATGCAGCCAACCCACGCCATCCATCAAAATAGATGCTCTTGTGTCCCGTATTGCTTAGTTCCTCTAGATAAAAGATTATCCATCGCACTGCTTGTTCGACATTGTTGAAATCAATAACCTGCATTAGTTGATATAGCAGTTTAGCAGTTAGAGGCTGCTCAGTTTAAAAATTTCCGTCTAGTAACATACTACTTTGTTGTGTTATTATTATGAACAGGAATAAATTGCATGTATGGGCACTCATACATGCTCGATGGCTAACCATGAGAAGAATTTCCAGTATCTATGTCTCTGTTCAACCTAGACTATCGGTTATGTGTTAGGTCACATGCAGAGTGGCAGCGACATCCATCGGCCTCAGGCGAGGAGGACACCAAGGTGGAGTTGCTCGTGTGTACGTACGTGTTGCTATTTGATTGCTAGCAACTGAGTCACAAGTGCCAAATTTGGTACATAGAGGGTGGGTCCTAGCTATGTGATGTCAAAGTGTCCTTCCATAAATCGAATTCCCACTCTTCTAAAAAAAAAACAAAAATCACACAAGTAAGCCAATATTACTTCCCAAGTGTGTTCCTATTTATATTTATACATGAATCTTTGGTTAGTTTTTTTTGTTTTCTCTTGAAACTAAAAAAGGCATGGACCCTCCCAAGTAATATAATTGAAGCTCTTTCACCTAATGATTTATGATTATTAGCAGATCAGTAGAAGGCATTTTTAGGCCTTATACCATGTTTAATTGCAGAATACTAGCCGGTAAGAATTTGCAAGCAACATGGATGCTTTGAAAAGGAAAGGGGCAGGAGCAGAGTGAAATGTATCAGCGCCAGAAAAGCATTTTCCCTGCACCCAACCACAACCCCTACTTTGACACCACCTCCACTTTTCAGGAATTTCAATGAGCATGTTGTGTGCGAGACTGTCAAAGCACACCCACGACATGATGCATGCCGATGCAGCATCAACCAGGCTCGCCGATGTTTTCGATCATGCAGAGGACGAGGAGAAGGCGGCGTCCAGGCAGACTACAAACCGCACGCCAATGAAAGAACCTGGTGGGCGGTGGTGGCAGCAAGCACACACGCGGCTGCGCACACGACAACCAGAACATGCGGCAGCATGTGGCTGCATGCGTGGCAGTGCTCTGTTGCACACGTGGTGGCCGGCACAACTGTCGGCGCTCGGCTGCGCACACATGGTAACGAGATCCGGCGTTGGGCGTGCGTCCAGGCATGTGCGCGATGTCTGGGGAATGCGGCCAAGCCACCTTCGACCGAGCGCGTGCGGGCGGCCCACGAGCTCCCGCCATGGGAGCAGGGACGAATCTAAGGGGGGAGTCCCTTGTATCGATTAAGTGCATGCGTTGTTAGTCGTCTTCCTGACGTACTATCTTTTTGAGCCCTATCGTGAGGCCATCTCGTGTAAGAACGTGAGGCTCTCCCAGGAGCAGGCCCAGCGAATATGAGCAATTTGGCAGTAATTTTTCTGTCTTTAATTACACCTATGAAAACACGAATTCGAATCTAGGCTTCTTAGCACGCTATGAATTATTTTGGCTTCGCCAGTCCTCACCGGTCTTCAAGAGCTTAAGTGTGGAGTTCGCCCCCTATACTAATTTCCTGGCTCCGTCCCTGCATTGGAGTGACCTCCGAATGGTGGGGAGAGGAGGTGGCGGGCGAGCGTGGGCTGTGCGGAGAGCAGAGGCAGTGGGCGCTGATGGTGCGGAGAGAGGAGGTGATGACAGGCATGTGGGGAAAGAGATAGAGAGATAGAAAGGGAGTTGTGGTTGACATGTGGGCTTGGAGTGGTTCGGGCCAATATATGAGCTGGGTTTTAGTGAGTGCCGGAC